TTAAAAAAGCCACAATGGTAGAGAGAAAAGATACCTTCATACTCCTAAACTAGTAAAATTAGATTTTTAATGCAATGATTCGATATTTCTTTGGAAAATATTTTACCTAAAATTATATCTAATTAATCTATGGAAAGTATTTTTTGGAATAATGTATATTTTCTATTGTCTATATTTATATTTTTCTGTGTTTGCATATACAGGGATCCCCCCACTTTTCAAAAGTTACTTTAAGCCACTTCACTTTTACAGAAGACCTACATTAGAACCTGTTTTTGCTAACTGAAAGAAATATGAAGAGGATTTTCACTTTTACAAAAAAAGGGCCAAATTAGTGTTCAGCCTTTGTTTTACAGAGAACTGTTAAAGAGGCAGTACACACCCCAAGCAGCAAGAGTGGCATTGCCAAGCTCCTTCCCCGGGAACTACACTTGGCATCAAGCTGCCATAGCTTTCAACTGTGTCTGTGAACACTGTATGTTAGTGTTATTTTAGGTTTTATGTATTATATGGTATGATTTGGTAGGCTATTTTTTGGATCTGAGAATACTCAAGATTTTTTTCCCATATAATTAATAGTAATTGCTTCTTTGCTTTACACCATTTTGGCTTATGAAAAGCTTCTTAACACTCTACATTTGGAGAGCAGGGGAAACATGTATATGGAAAAGTCACTATGAGTCAGAATGGAGTCAATGGCAGTGAGTTCGTCTGCGTATGAGATGGAAGTCTGAAGCGGTATGGAAAAGGAGAGCAGCAGAGCAAGAGAAGGCGAGCATCACTAAGAGAGCTCCTCTCTGCTCCAAAATGCTTTATGTATCCTATCAATTAGAGATAAATCTAAACAAACAAACTTGTCTGAATAGCGAACACTCCACTGAACGCTAAGTTCATTTGTCATATAACAAATAGGCTCCTGTGATAATAATGTATCATCCTACAATTAAGCTTGAATGAGATTACCTGGTACAGAAGATGGGAAAAAAAGGAATACTAGAACTTTTTAAGTGCTAGGAAAGGGAAATGAAGGTGGTAGGAGTAGAGGGGTATCTGAACAGTTAAGAAAACTCTGTGTTCATATTTATGTAGAGGAGACAAAGTAGGAACAGAGAATGGGTATTTCAGAGGTGAGAGGGAGATGAGAGGTACCAAAGACTCCCCAGCATTTTTCCTGGGTTTTGCCTACTATAGATCACATTACATTTGGTACAGGTCAGTGAAATCCTTGATGAGATAGATTGACACGCTGGCTGCAACAATGAACTCAAGCAAGCAAGCAAACAAAACAACGGCTCCAACATACCAGTGATTATGAGAATGGCACAGGGCTGGGCAATGTTTCATTCTGTTATACATAAAGTTGCCATGAGTCAGCAACTAACAATAGATCACTTATGCTGATCTAACAAACAAACACAAACAAAAAAGAAAAACCAAACTCACTGCCGTGGAGTTGAATCCGACTCATAGAGACCCCTCCTTGGGTTGCCGAGGCAGTATCACTACGGAAGTAGATTGCCCAACCTTCCTTCCGAGGAGTGGCTGGTGGGTTTGAACCACCAGCCT